GAGAAAGGGGGGAGATAGAGGAGAGAGAGTGGGGGGATAGAGGAGAGGGAGAAAGTGGGGGAGAGAGAGGAGAGAGAGGGGGGTTGATAGAGGAGAGGAAGACAGAATGAGGTGGGGTCAGAGATAAAAGAAGTTAATGATAGACAACATTGACAGGGTAGCAGATACCACGGAGGGGGGAGGGTAGATGATGGGACTCTGAGGACCACATAGAAGGAGTAAGGACACCAAGCATCACATTCCTCCCGATATGGAGCCGCTGAGATACGGCCGCAGTAATGGGGAGAATGCTGCAAGGAAATTGGTTTTCTATCTCGGCGGTGGTGCGTGCGAGCGGCGGAGCCATGACTGCGACGTCTGCTTAGTACAGATATGATACAAAGTATCAGTGATCCATGGCCGGGTATTATGTGTATCCCGGGACGGGTCGCTCTCATACTCTTATCTTCCACTATATGTATTTATATATACAGCACATTGCCAGTGACATCAATATATATCCACAGACTGCATGATAGAGGGGACTACAGCACGGTGATCCCGCCTTTGTGCCTCTGGAAGAACCTGCATATATCTTTACACCAAGTGCTTCTACATGAGAAAGTTTGAAATCAGGCTTGCAATGGCAGTGACTGCTCTGTTAGCAGGAGGTGGAGGGGCTCTGGTGGGCTCACAGGATGGAGAGAGCCCAGAGCAGGTGTCACCAGTGGGGCAATGTTTTCTAGGAGTCCATACAGCAGGTTGGGGGGGGCAATGACCTGGATGGCATGGGGGGGAGAGGTTGGGGGGGGCAATGACCTGGATGGTATGACTGCAGCTTCTGAAGAAAGTTGCCTCCCTAATACATGGCACAAATCCGATGCTGTGATTTCTGGTGACTTTGTCATTTTTTTTTTTTTCCCCAGGGCCCTCTGCTGACCCTCGGCTCTGTCATCGATCTCCCTCACCTCCGGACAGCCATCAAAGATGCCACCACTGCTGTTATGCCAAAAGTGGTAAGTCAATGCCAACTTGTGATATCCCCGGGGAGAGACATGACACATTCTGTACAACATACACACTGCCCATCTTGGGGAAAAGCCAGTAGGGATGGTGGGAGCCCCTCATAATGGGCACAGCGGGGGTACAGACCCGGGAACTCAGCACAGGGATGGTGGGGGCCCCTCATAATGGGCACAGCAGGGGTACAGACCCGGGAACTCAGCACAGGGATGGTGGGGGCCCCTCATAATGGGCACAGCAGGGGTACAGACCCGGGAACTCAGCACAGGGATGGTGGGGGCCCCTCATAATGGGCACAGCAGGGGTACAGACCCGGGAACTCAGCACAGGGATGGTGGGGGCCCCTCATAATGGGCACAGCAGGGGTACAGACCCGGGAACTCAGCACAGGGATGGTGGGGGCCCCTCATAATGGGCACAGCAGGGGTACAGACCCGGGAACTCAGCACAGGGATGGTGGGGGCCCCTCATAATGGGCACAGCAGGGGTACAGACCCGGGAACTCAGCACAGGGATGGTGGGGGCCCCTCATAATGGGCACAGCAGGGGTACAGACCCGGGAACTCAGCACAGGGATGGTGGGGGCCCCTCATAATGGGCACAGCAGGGGTACAGACCCGGGAACTCAGCACAGGGATGGTGGGGGCCCCTCATAATGGGCACAGCAGGGGTACAGACCCGGGAACTCAGCACAGGGATGGTGGGGGCCCCTCATAATGGGCACAGCAGGGGTACAGACCCGGGAACTCAGCACAGGGATGGTGGGGGCCCCTCATAATGGGCACAGCAGGGGTACAGACCCGGGAACTCAGCACAGGGATGGTGGGGGCCCCTCATAATGGGCACAGCAGGGGTACAGACCCGGGAACTCAGCACAGGGATGGTGGGGGCCCCTCATAATGGGCACAGCAGGGGTACAGACCCGGGAACTCAGCACAGGGATGGTGGGGGCCCCTCATAATGGGCACAGCAGGGGTACAGACCCGGGAACTCAGCACAGGGATGGTGGGGGCCCCTCATAATGGGCACAGCAGGGGTACAGACCCGGGAACTCAGCACAGGGATGGTGGGGGCCCCTCATAATGGGCACAGCAGGGGTACAGACCCGGGAACTCAGCACAGGGATGGTGGGGGCCCCTCATAATGGGCACAGCAGGGGTACAGACCCGGGAACTCAGCACAGGGATGGTGGGGGCCCCTCATAATGGGCACAGCAGGGGTACAGACCCGGGAACTCAGCACAGGGATGGTGGGGGCCCCTCATAATGGGCACAGCAGGGGTACAGACCCGGGAACTCAGCACAGGGATGGTGGGGGCCCCTCATAATGGGCACAGCAGGGGTACAGACCCGGGAACTCAGCACAGGGATGGTGGGGGCCCCTCATAATGGGCACAGCAGGGGTACAGACCCGGGAACTCAGCACAGGGATGGTGGGGGCCCCTCATAATGGGCACAGCAGGGGTACAGACCCGGGAACTCAGCACAGGGATGGTGGGGGCCCCTCATAATGGGCACAGCAGGGGTACAGACCCGGGAACTCAGCACAGGGATGGTGGGGGCCCCTCATAATGGGCACAGCAGGGGTACAGACCCGGGAACTCAGCACAGGGATGGTGGGGGCCCCTCATAATGGGCACAGCAGGGGTACAGACCCGGGAACTCAGCACAGGGATGGTGGGGGCCCCTCATAATGGGCACAGCAGGGGTACAGACCCGGGAACTCAGCACAGGGATGGTGGGGGCCCCTCATAATGGGCACAGCAGGGGTACAGACCCGGGAACTCAGCACAGGGATGGTGGGGGCCCCTCATAATGGGCACAGCAGGGGTACAGACCCGGGAACTCAGCACAGGGATGGTGGGGGCCCCTCATAATGGGCACAGCAGGGGTACAGACCCGGGAACTCAGCACAGGGATGGTGGGGGCCCCTCATAATGGGCACAGCAGGGGTACAGACCCGGGAACTCAGCACAGGGATGGTGGGGGCCCCTCATAATGGGCACAGCAGGGGTACAGACCCGGGAACTCAGCACAGGGATGGTGGGGGCCCCTCATAATGGGCACAGCAGGGGTACAGACCCGGGAACTCAGCACAGGGATGGTGGGGGCCCCTCATAATGGGCACAGCAGGGGTACAGACCCGGGAACTCAGCACAGGGATGGTGGGGGCCCCTCATAATGGGCACAGCAGGGGTACAGACCCGGGAACTCAGCACAGGGATGGTGGGGGCCCCTCATAATGGGCACAGCAGGGGTACAGACCCGGGAACTCAGCACAGGGATGGTGGGAGCTCCTCATAATGGGCACAGCGGGTGTAACTTAATTTAACTTGGTATTAGCCTCTTGCATTCTATGTATAGAAAAACATAGACTGGGAAAGGGAGAAGCAGGCAAGGAGACAGACTGGTGTGCTACAGCGCAGGGACTTTGCTGATAGGAGGAGAGAACAGAGTGACAGAGATATGAGCGCATCAGTCTGCTGCTTCTCCTTTCACTGTTCAGTCACAGGCTGTGGGAGAGACAAGACCTGTTAATGTTATTGAACTGCAGCAGACAAAAGTCAGGTCTCCTGCCCAGTCGGACGTGCTGTGCTGTGTAGTGAAGTTCATGTAAATCTCCGCACTGGATGGACAGAATTACAAATCCTCATCTGTTTGCCTGGAGTCCAGCGGATAGAAAACCTGAGCTTCGCTGGCGCCCTGGTAAATGTTTCATTCATTCTCTGTGGAGTGCTAGTAAATCTTTAATAAAATCACATGAAAGGGAAATGTTTGGTATTCAGATTAGCGGCGAGGGGAGCGAAGAGCGATAAATTCACCGGGCGGAAAGAAAGCTGATTAATGCGCTCTTACAATATTCACCTACATCGCAGCGCGTTCACACGGCGTGAAAAGAGCGGAAATCCAACCCGGCGCAGATGACAACAAAGGAATGAAGAGAGAATGTCACAAATATTGTTAAATTCCATGGGCCGGTAAAGTGTGCCCCAGGGACGTGCCGTGCCTTCTGCGCTGGGTGAGGCATCCCCCAGCCCGCCAAAGCTCCACCTCCACCCTGCTGAAGCTCCACCCCCAGCTCAGTAACCAAGCTGTGTGGGAAGGAGGAAGGGAGGAGACGGGAAGGAGCCTTCCTGTTCCTCACTTGCTTGTCACTGCTGAGGCATCGAAATCGATGGCCTCAGAGGCTGTGACAGCCCTTGCCTCACTAGGTTAGGTTACACAAGCAGTGGGGAAGCCCGCTGCGGTGTAACCTTCGGTGTGACTCCCCCTGGGCCCGGCATCACGGGTGTTTTGCAGGAAGCGGGGAAGGAGACCAGCGAACATCCCATCCAGAATTGAACTAGAAACAGCGCTGATTGCATCACTGTCATTCCCCGTTAAGCGAAGTCAGGGGAGAAGCTATTGAAGCGTGATGTGCAATCCAAAAGCATTTTAGGATTTGAAAGGTGGGGTAGGCTGAGGGGTAACAAGAGGAAGCTTTGAGAGGATTTATTTAAAGGGGTATTTATTTGTCATGTAATGATTAACAAACCAGCAAAGCGTTTACTTTAAAGGAGAACTATGGGGTCAGTGTTTTCCCCCATAGTTCTCCTTAGGGTGACGGGAGGACACAAACTAGCGTCCTCCCGTCACCCCTAAGCTCAGTATATAGGGAGCTACAGCTCGCGGTATACTGAGACGCCGCAGCGGATCCCGACTTAGACGTCGGGATCCGCCCAGCTGCGTGAGTGACAGCTGGCTCTGCCTATCTAGAGGCAGAGCCAGCTG